CCGACACCGAGTCGGGTTTTGCGCGATATGGGCAATAGGCGCCAGGTACGCAAAAATCATGGACACAGAGACAGAGGGTAGGATACGGAGAAAGCAGAGGCGCCAATTTAGGAGAAGAGCGGGATGACGGAGAAGTCGAGAGGCGCGCGGGCGGCAGGGTCGCGCTGTTCGGACTCGGCCTAGACGGACAAAGCGTATGGGCAGAGCAACGTTCAGCGACGTCATCGAGAACCAGAACGCAAAGCAAAGCAATTCGAGAGCCGCGTTCTGCTTCTGTTGGACCGTTACCGCAGCGCGATCGCGGAAGGGCCGAAGTGCGAGCTTCAAGGTTGCAAGGGAAGGAAGCGCGCGGCTCGAACGGGAAAGAGCGCGTCGGTCGCGCATGTCTGCTCGCACGCGGCCGCCCAGGGCCTGATCTTCGCGCTAGACGCGTGAGAAGGCATAGGCTGTTCGCCTTCTGTATCTTCGAGTCGCGAGCTCTCTCATCGGAGACCGGAAGCAGCGTGCGGTATGTATTTCCGTGCGAACATCCATTGTCAACTTCCCGCGCGATTCAATGTTTTCAGATCCGCAGAAAAGGTCTCCGATCGTATGTCTGACTGAGAAAGGAGAAGGTTGTGCGTGTGTGGGGAAGCCGCAATGGATTATGGGGATGGGGAATGGGGAAGGATCCGGAGAGTCTGGAGGGAGGAAGAGTTGATGGAAGTCGAGACGGGATCGGGGTCGCCTGGACGCGCGCTGTGGAGCGGAAGGATTCCACGAAGGATGCTTGCGCGCCTAGACCAGCTAGACCTGTGCGCCGCGCGCTTTCTTTTGTATTGCGCGGACGCGCCCGCGCGATAAGCGAGGGAAGGGCAGCGACGAGGAAAAATGTTTGGACGTCGAACGGCGCGACGGGCGCACGGGGCGGGACGGGTGCGGGGTGCGGGCAGGTGCGGGGAGGGGAGCGGCGGCAATTCGAAGCCTGGACGGTGATCGGGAGGGCGAGACAGGGACCGGGCGCGGATGCGTACACGGTGTTTAGTGATGTCAGGAGAATAATGTTATCTGGGTGCGGGATATATACGCCCGACGGCCGCATTTCGCGCCGCGATTGCTCTGCCCGAATTTACAGACGAGACATGCCCACCGTCTCGCCCGCCACCTTCACGACAGAGCGCGGGCCCGGTGCATTTGCCTCGCTTGGCGCACTTCCCAGGAGAGGGAGTGCGAGCAAGCAGCGCCGGCCGCTCTTCCACTTTGACGACGACAACGAACAGGACAGCCCGCCCGACACGCCGCAGAACGTGCCCTTCCCCTCACGATCTCAATCCTCCTCTCCGGCCTCTCCTGCTCAGCCTTTGACACCTACCAATGTGCCGCCGGCAATTAAGCGCAGCGACTCGGGTTCTGTCATCCTCTCGAACGGAAGGGTGCGAACAATCCCATCAACAATCATCCGAATAGGAAACTGAACATGCGTTTTCTTCTAGCCGTTGAAGTCGAGCCTCAAGTCGGCCTCCTCGTCGTCCATCGCGGCGATGGACGACCGTTCCCTCGTCGACGAGGACGAGGAGCGCTTCTCGTCGCGGCCACTGCACACGCGTGCTCAGAGCATGCCATCCACGCCACGGGTGCACTTCCACGACGACAAGCTCGCCACCGTCCGCGTCTTCCGCTCCACCGGCCGCCCGAGATCGGTGTCCACGAACGAGCTCGATACCGAGACCGAGACAGAAGCGGAGCCCGCTGCCTACCCATTCCCCAGGACGGCGCCCCAGGCCGCACAGGCGCTCATGGACATCGACCCCTCTTCGGCCCGGACGTCCCAGATCCCGGCGCCGCACCCGCCCCAGGACGCGCACATCCTCATCGAGAGCATATCTTTACCACCTTCACGTCCGCCTGTTCTCCGTGGCACGGTCCTCGTCCGCAACGTCTCCTTCGAGAAGCGCGTTTGCATTCGCTTCACTCTCGATGACTGGACCACCGTCTCAGAGGTCCTCGCGACGTACTCCTCTTCTCTCTCACCTTCTGTCAACCCTCTCGCTCGCTCAGACAACCTCACTATCGGTGACCTCGCACACCGTGGCCCCCAAGCGAATTGGGATCGTTTCGCGTTCGCTATCAGATTGGAGGACTACGAATCCCGCCTCGCAGATCGCACCCTCTGGCTGGTCGCTCGCTATACCGCGCCTGGTGCTGGCGAGTGGTGGGACAACAATGGCCACGCGAACTACAAGGTTGGCTTCCGCCCGCGTGTATCTGCGGCTCCAGTCCAGCAGCGCAAGGCACCCAGCGCGGCACCGTTCTTGGCGAGCAGCGCGGCAGTTCCCGTGCCCTCGCCCCCGCAGCGCACGGCCGTTCATGCACTCGCGGCTCGTCCTGGTCCCATTCAACGCAGTTCGTCTTCGCCCAACCCGCCAACGGTCCAGACACTCGGTCGTCTCAGCTTGAAGCATTACGCTGCGCCTGCGCCTGCACCGCCGCTGCCTTCTCCTGAGGAGAGGAAGGAAGTACCCGCGAAGCCGCTCAAGAATCTCGTGGGCGGTCACTTCACGAGCTCTGCGTCTCCTGCGCCAACTCCCGTACCTGCGCCTGCGCCTGTACAGGTCGAGGATGGCCCTGGACACGTCGACGAGGGTTTCGCGACTGGAAGCGAGGATGAGGATTCTGGGACGCCGCCCGCGACCAAAGGCGTCGCCGCTCGCCGTCAGTCCGGCTCTCTGCGCTTGGACATTGCCGCCCCCCGCGCGACCAAGCCGGCGAGCGCCGTACCCTCTTTGGGCGCACGAGGACCATTCAGCCCCACGCGCTCGAGTCCTGTGCCCTTTGCGAGCGCGATCGGAGTCGCGCAGGCTCATGTGACCGGAGAAGTGACGCAGCAGCCTACGCCACCCGCATCTGGCCAAGGCTCGCCCGACGCGAGTTATGCCGCGCTCATCCGGGAATGGTGCTTCGCGCAGGGTGACGCGACCGCTACGCCAACGCCAACGAACGGCGCGGTTGCGGGATGGGGCCCAACGCGTTCCAATGCCCTCTGGGTTGGCATGGGCGGATGAGCGTGTGGTTGGATGACATTGGCTTGTTACTCCTCCGCATGTATAGAGCGACCGTCATGTTCGCAACGTACAGACAGCGCAGCGCAGCGCTCCGCCAGATGCGCACAAAATATTTCACCCAGGCCTCCGCTCAGGGCGCAGGCTCTTCCGTGTACAATATCCCTTCGGCGCCCGGCAGACGCAGACACCCCTACAGTCGCGTCTCAGAGCCGTGTTGTTCGAATTCTTCCGCTACCCCCCCTCTCTGTGCCCATCTGATACAGTTGTTCATTGTCCTATGCGTTCCTATTCCCCTCCTGTTGTCTCTGCCTCGTCTGTCTCGTCCCGTGAATGGCTGTCTCCGATTCCTTTCCTTTCTATGTTTATTTCTCGTACTTGTGTCTCTCTGCTCAAACCGATCTGGATACAAATCACCCACCCCTCCCCCGACGCTCTTTGGTTCAACCCTATCCAACCACAACCCCTTACGACGTTGAATGACGCCCCTGCATCACATATCGCATACCACCACAGCTCACAGCTCAGCCAGTACAATGGTTCTACTGCATACCAAACCAGTCTGTCACCTCACACAATCGCACTTCGCACTCGGCCCGCACTGCTCTCTTCCGTCCCCTACTCGCTCCATCTTTTCCAAGTATGTTTGGGTTACAGTTCCTTGCAATCGCATCACACGTACGCGCACACTCCTTCGCGCGATGTGGATCGACTCTCAGCTAAGTATTCTTGTACACGGCGCAATCGCTTGCAGTTGCGAGTTCAACCAGCGGAGGTTCGGCATGTTGACAAGTTCCCATCTTCACACAGAAGCTGGCAGATAGGGGGTGGCGAGGCTTCTTGATTCTATTTCAATTGGCATAGAGTTGTGAGCCTGAGCGCTTCGTTGCCTTTCGTAGCTTATCGCGTCGCCATCTGGCGCCTTTTGCCGATTGCTTATGACGGATGTGGAAGGTCTTGCTCATCGAGTTCGGGTAGGTCCCTTGCGAGGGAGATGAACGCGCGTGGAGGATGCGTGCTTGCACGTTTGTGAGATCCCAAGCTCATGCTTATCGCGTGGATTATGAAGGAACAAAGCAATTGAGAGCTCCACTCAAACCAGGATGGCAAAGCTCGTACTGGAGAAGCTGCGCCACTTGTCCGCACCCTCGCATCTCCCGACGGTGGCAAGCGCAAGTCTAGTTCAGGCCACGACCAACTCTCCCTGCGGTCTACAAGCCGAACTCTCCCCCTTGCGCCTTCTTTGTCGGCGCGGGCATACTCGGCAAACGGCAGGTTGCGGTAAAGTTGGGATGCGGGCATGCCGACTCCCGACAAGCTCGCACAGACCTGAATTGCGCCCCTGCATTCTCGTTACTGCACCATGTAACCCGTCCAGTCTTATCGCTGTTCGCCTCAGCCTTGTACATACTCAGACGTACGAAGATGTACTTCGATCTGGTGGCGCATCGCGTATTGGTGATCATTACAGCAAGATGCAAAAAAACGTTCCGACTCGCGTTCGAAAGTGAGCTCCAAAAGTTGTTTAC